ACCATCAATTTGGACTTAGCCCAACCTAGACCTAAGTCTAACCCAACACCCCTAAATTGACCAAATGCCCAAAATCCTCCAAATTGAACCCCCAAATCAATTCAAAATCACTCCAAATCTTTTCTAAACCTCTTATGACAATCATTCCTAACCCAAACCCAACTTCTAGTCATTTTGACCCAAATTGAACCCATGCACTAAAATTGACTTAGCCATGCCAAAGCCACGAAATTAATGACACCACAACCACCAAATACACCTTATGCACCGGGCTAAACCCACCTAAACCAACCAAGATGAGCTATGGACCAATGGTCCCTTGATTTAAGGGATTTCACCCCATATTTGGCCTAAACTCAAATATATTGGTTGGCCATCATCTCTTACCCTTAGGAGTTAACCATCATTAACAACCCCCTGGCCTCCCTGAGCCAAGAAGTGACTATACTCTGGCCAGCCACCACCTTAGCCGGCAGAAACAGCCAGCCTAAAGGTGCCCCCATTGGCCAAAACCCAAAATTAAACCCCCCTGACTTGGCTCACCCTAATTCGATGCTTAAGCATTTCTTCCCCCCACCTCAACAAGCTTTAGCACCCAACTCCCAGCCCTAAGCTCCACTAGGTAGTCATGGCTTTAAATGGAGCTCTCCACGGCCAAAGAAGAGAGTGCTTGGAACCTTAAGGAAACTCTGTCAAAATCTCACCAGAACTTCTCTAAACCATCCCAAGTGCAATCCCCTTGCTCTCAGTCATTGATAGCCACCCCTTAGAGCCAATTTCTTCACTGAAATTTGTCATAAAACCAGGATAGATCTCTCCACTCCACCACAGTGCACCAAACTTCAAATAATTGTGCATACATCATCACCGCAGTGAAAGAGGCTGATTCCCCACAAAAGCCCCTTCTAAAATAGCCTCTAACATAGCTCTAGACCAACACCTGAAATCGAGTATGATCGAAACCATACCTAGACAATTCACTAGGGTTTGAGACTTCATTCATATTGAGGTTTGTTGGGACCAATCAAAGCTACCACAACCATCTGATTGAGGCATCCCCTCTCAAACAAAGGTATTGAATCCCAACTCTAATTCGAGATTATTTTGATTCATTATATGTATTTACTGTATTTCATACCGCATATACCGTATGAATAGGTTCATCTAGAGTAGATGAAGTTTTAGAAACAAACCCCATGCGATTTGGTTGAGTCTAGCCCAAGATCTTAAGGTTTTAGTGTGAACGGTTTACGGGTTAGGTCACTCGGGGACGATGAACGGATGTCATCCGATCGCGCGTGCATCCAATGGACGGAAGAGATCGAGCCGGATAAACTCTTGGTGCGTGAACAGCAGGCCACATGGTGGCTGAGGTGGATGGTGTCGAATAGCGGAGCGATGCATGTGAGTTCAGAGCCGTCTTAGGTTGAGTTGGCGTCGCGTGGATAAGTAGAAAAGTATGGATTTCTTGAATTATATTAAATATAATACGTGGACTGTAAAATCCATATCTTTCTCTAGAAAAATTATAAAAAAAAAGAAAAATACCCTCTTGCTCAGTGAACAAGGGAGAATAATGTGGACTAAATTGAAGTCCATTTGATGCATGTTTTTTTTTAATTAACCATGATTTTTAATGAATTAAATACCCTCTGTGGTATTTCAATTCTCCATGACTAAATATCGCTCACCATGGCTTGAAATTTTGAGGGTTAATTCCTCATGACAGAGGTTGTCCTCTGATTTTTCCAAAGTCAGAGTACATCTCTATGCTTCTAGCCCTAATTTTCAAGCTAAGGTGACAATTTTGGCTATTTTAATTATATAAATCAAAATATCATTTAAAAAATTATGAGAATAATTTTAGTAGATTTCCTATGGTCAGAAAAGTCTAGAAAAAATATCATGATGTCTTGAATTATCTTGTAAATTTCTATATTTAATTAAATGTAAATATCTTGGGTTAATTTTTTGTAAATTATATACTAATAAAAAATTGACAAGATCAATCTCACATTGTTCATAAAAAATCATGCTTATCCATTGTAAAAATTTAAAAATTATTTGATTAAGTTCAAGTATTGAAGTTGATTTTCTAAGGAACCTTGTATTTTGGTACAAAAATAATTATATTAAATTAAATACACTTGAAAAATTAGGAAAAGTGGTTTTCTGAGTTCCTTGTGATCAGAGGCGATTAGGAAAAATAAAAATTATTTTTTTAGAAAATACTTAACTTTTTAGCCTTAATTTGAATTTTAAAATTATTAAAAATAATTAAAAATCCCAAAAGTAACAAAACATTTCAAAATATGTCTAATTGTCCTCTGATCACTTGAACTCATTAAAATATTTTTCCTAATTTTCCTAAAAAATAAATTTTAAAAGGCTTAAAAGTGGATTTTTTCTTATTCTCCCATTAAAATAATTATAATAATTTAATTCAAAAAAATCATAAAATGTTGTCTAAATATTTCTCTGACCTAGGGAAACCTCTAATAATTTTCTCATAAATAAAAACTTTATTTTAGAAAGTCAAATAAATCAATTTCTAAAGAATCATATTTTATAAGCTTAAACAAATATTTAAATTAAATTAAATTTTGAGATGTCCACATATTCTTCTCTGACATTATAATTACCTCATAGATATGACACTCTAAACCCTCAAAGTCATTTGGGTTATGTTTAGTGAGTTATGAGGTGAAGTGCCTCTATGGTGAAATAGTCATTTTAGATTTTTGTGCCTTAATCAAAATTTAGGATTAATCAAAGGAAAAATGGGTAATTTTAATCTTAATAAACATGTTTCGATGATTGAAATACAATGGGATTAAAAGGTAGAAACTTATTTACCACCCTTGCAAAACATCAACAAAATTATAGGAACATTTGATTTGACATTATAACCTGACACTATAACCTGACACATTAGAAAGACATTAGAAAGCTTAAACTCGTCACAACGAGGAGCTTGGAGCTAGCATTGTGGGCAGCACGACCATCTTCATCAGCAAAAGGATCCACAACAACATATCTTTCCTTAGAAATTAAATAACAAGTCATAGGATTTTGAGGTTGTTTGTCTAGTGCAACATAAATCCTCACCTTATCTTTAGGTCTTTTGTATAGTTCTATTGTATAATATAAGCCCTAACTCGTTTTAGGATTCTGAGGTTGTCGTTCGTTACGATCTAAACCCTCACAACTTCCAGGTTATTTGTGTGATTGTTTCACATAAGTATAAGTCATAATTAATAAAATCGACATGATGAAACATTCAAATACTTCTCTCTAAACTGAAGTCAAACCATAGGATAGCTTGGGAAGTCACCGAGGTCCCCCTCCAGATCTATGACATCACATAGTTCTCCCTCCCTTAGATTCCAAAAAACAAAATGTTCCAAATTTGAGTCATTCCTCATTCACACATCTTTGTCCGATCTCATTGAAAAGTCGTATCCTTTTGAACTCCTTGAAGATAATATTTCCTGATTTTTACCGAGAGTTTTTTTAGGTGACTTCGGTTATCTAAGATATAATTAACTATAGGGGTTTGCCCTTATAGGAAGTCTTTCCGAACTTAGTTTAATATAAATCTTATTTAATTCTTCGAATTAAATAGAAGAAATTGTCGACAAATAAAATGATTTCGCAGACCAAACGGATGTCATATGTTTCGGGATAGATACAGGGTTTGAGATATTATGCTCTTTCATTTAAACTATGAAAAATATGGGATCGATTTGATTTCATATTTTTCTAAACTATATATATATATATATTAAACGCCTTTCCGAAGAGGGCGATGTGATTTTGATTTCGACGACCGGCAGCTTCCAACGGGCAACTCCACACCCAAAAAAGTGTCAATAGGGTTACACATAGGAGAGAAACTTCCCATGACTGAGGCGCGAGAAAGGAGAAAGAGGAGCAAGAGAAGAGTTAACCTAGGGCCAGCATCGTGACTCCGGGCAGAGACGCAAGGAAGGAGAAGCGGTCAGAGGTGGAAAATACCACAAAGTTTCATAATAAACCAATCAAAGGGCCACAAGATCTCGCCCATGGCCCACATTTAATGAATTTATTCCAATAAGTGGCCGCAAAGCGATTATCAAATGGGACTTTTAGCGTTCTAAAAACGCACCATAGCAAAAAAAACAACCCCAAACACACCCTTAAACATTGGTTATAACCTCTCAAATTCATTGTTACAGAAATTTTTTCATTAGTTTTAACCAAATCTATAAAATAAAATAAACTGCATTTAAAAGTCCACTGAAATTTAAATACATGTAACCAAACAGCACCTTGATAAAAATCATTATTATCTCTTAGAATTTGACATGATACCTAAAAGGAACTAATGGAGACCGAGGTTCCATAAAGAAGCAAGAAAACAATAGGTATTAAGCCACTGTGAAAATGATGTAAACAAAACTTTATCCTTTACACCAAACAATTGAACTGAAAAAAAAAAGTAGCCTACTCAAAAAAAAAAATAAACCAATGCTGTCTTACAAATTTCCAAAAGCTTGAAAATTTACATATATACCATACAATTTGTATGTAGTTAGATGTATATAACCCAAAATTTAATATTTATGTTTATAACATTTCGGTGTCAAAAACCTATGCAATAAAATATATTCACTTCTAAGAAATCAGTAACTGGTATTTTTTATGATGTAGAAAACATAAGTGGTATGTATATAAATATGAAAATTTAAAAGTTAGATACGTAAATATATCGTAATTGTAAGGTATGCACATAAATACCCAAAATTTACATATAGCAATATCTCATTTTACATCATTAAATCATCATTACGCATTTACTCTTCCCTAACTCTAATATTATTGGAATAAAACAGCTATAGCTTTGCTTGATTTTGGTTGAATATACACGATCATGTAAGAACATCATACTTCTAAGCCACTGAAATCATTCAAGAAACTTCAGCAGCACAGACTAATAAATAAAAATTAAGCAGCCAAAGCAGAATAACTCTGATGTAAAATTAAAGCGAAGCAATATATTTAAGTAATAATCACAAAGAACGATGGATCAAGCAGAAGAATCATCACAAGCTATAAAACATAGATACAGAATGTTAAATATTATGTATTTTTGTAAAAGTTAAGGTATATTTCCCCATCTCAACAGCTCTTGAACTTATCTTAGGGGCAGAGCAGCCCATTGTGTTGCACCGCTAGCAGGAAGAGAAGGCCGAATAAGTGGCATGTAACGAACCAATGAGATCGCTTTGAGACGGGCGGAGCGAGTCACAAACTGGGAATCCTTCTGCATGATTCAGAAAAGAAAAGTAAAATGACAAGAGATGTATCATGATTAATGCAAGTGCTGTGTATCTCTATACACATTAACACATTGAAATATGTCTAAAAATGAATCTCGTTATCCATAATATACGACAAGCAACTACGGAAGCAGCAAACATAATGCTATGTCTCTCATGGCAGAACTACAGAACAAACAAAGCATGCAAGCGCTTCACAAAAGTAATAACTAAGGAACAAATTATAGTCAAGATTCTAGGCATTGCATTCACAAGTTAAAAAATAAGACAAAATAATAATAATATTTATAAAAAAATTTCGGAAGCAATTATCTTTACTAACATAACCGCTAAGCAATGAAGCATCGCAAGTAGAATGCAAAATCAAGTGAAAACCACAAGTTTCACGAAAGGATGGAATATGTGGCAAACACTTCTTCATCAATAGCAATCCATTAAATCGCGGACAGCATCTTTCCATCAACAACAATAGAGCAATCTGCGAATAACAGTTTTTCTTTCGCAATAATATACCAAATCATGTACAGCAGTTTTCATCTACAGCAATATGCCAGTCCATATAAATCATCTTTTTTATTTCTGCTGTGTTTAATTCTGGATTCCATAATCAAGGACTTTTTTCCAAAATTTTGATCCTTTTTAAAATATGTATTTCTCCACATACTTTTGTACAATTCCTTATCATCCTTTTTGAAACAAAATAAGGAAATTAAAATCAGTCATAACTCATAAAATATCGCATTTTTGTATTATAACGTTCTAAAATTTTTAATTATCAGATGTCTTTTGTCCTTATACAGGGAAGAGTCAGTTCCCCAAAGCTTAAATTATTTACAATAAACAAGATTTAATCCAAAAGCCTTCCCTACAAGCACTACTGGTACCATAGATTACCTTAACTCCATATTAGATAAAAGGGTAGCAAAAAAAAATGAAATAAAGCTAACCACTGATGTATTGAGAATAAAAATGCAGAAATAAAATCAATGAAAACAGCTTCGCAAACAGAATAACCATGGACCTGGAAATAAAAACAAAGAATATTTGATTTTCTACTGACTTTAATTGCAAAAATCTATAAAATATCTAGAAGGTGCAATAAACTAAATTAGGAATGCCAAAAAACGTCATGGAGCATATGCATTATCAGTTCAAGTTACTAATAGCCAAAGGGGCATAGAAAGATGGCAGGATAACAATTTCGGTCGAATATCTTCAATATAAATCAAAACTCTGGCATGACCAATGTGTGAAAAATAACTCATTACAAAATGGTACCTCAATTATACTATCCGAGATAAAGAGATTGACAATTTACCATATACTCTAATTTGCAAACAGCTACAAAAATTGCAAGGTCATTCTCAAGCAACGGAAGAACATATAAAAAATTCATAGTAATACTTCAAAATGGAAGATGTAAATACATAAAAATTGTTCTATAAGTATAAATATAAAAGTTTAGGTGCGTGACATGTAAATACATAAGAATTGTGTAAATGCCCCTAAAATCAATTTGATCAAAAACCAAGTCTAATTAGTCAAAGTTAAATCAAATTAGCCAAAACGGACTGTCACCATCTTGTTGGCCCACATTGAAAAACTCATTAAGTTGAAAATCATGTTAAGAAACATGTCTTGCAAACTGAACTGACACTACAAAAGCCACATCCTTTAGTTATGGCCCCTCCACGATAAAGCAACCAAATCTATCCGGTAATATGGGTAGCTTTCAAAACTATGCCAAGGTAGCGGCCACTTCATGGCTCATGGACTTACACAAGTACTCAACTAATTTTAGTCCAAGTAAAAAAAATTTAAACAATATATCAAGCTTACAATCATCGGCATCAAGTTAACAATCTAAATTTCTTTTTGAAGCAAGACACTGAAATTCCCTATCGCTCCAATTTATATCAAACATAAAAATCAAACAAATTAGCCTAAATTTTACCTCTCTTGGAAGCTTACTAGAAGAAGAAAACAGGGGATTGATAATAAGTTGAGTCGAATGAGTTAAGCTCCACTCAAAATCTAAATTGAAAATAAACTCACTGCTTGAGCTCAACTTGAAATCAAAATCATTTCGAGTCGAGTGAACTCAACAAAAAATAACTAAATTTTGAAACTTAAAATTAGTTTTTAATAAAAAACTTACATAAATATAAATACTAGATTATGAATTAACATATGTATACATTATATATTTTATATAAATATTTATTCCAAGTCACATTTTGTGTTGACTCAAACTATATTCAAGAAAGTCAAAGCAAACTTGAAATTGGAGTGAAGCTCAATGTTGATTAGAGTGAACTGATTTCGATTTGATGCAACTTTTGGATAAGATTCTAGCTTTTTTTAGTAGCCTTTAGGAAATATATCACTGTTGAGAAAATCTTCACGTTAAACATTGCTCCTTTTCAACCCAAAGCCAACAAAATGCTCCTAAATGGTAAATTTTCTCTACAAAATGAGCACAAAACTCAAAATAAAATTTGGATAATTATAATGCTTTTTTAGCTGATTCTATTAATTATTGTTTAGTTTCAAAATTAAAATTGAAAATTGATTTTGTTTTGAACTTTACATCCTTTAATAAAAAAAACAAAAATCTAAACAGCTTGATTATTTTCTTGGTCATTGGGTCATATTTGGAGCTAAAGGCCTTCATTTGAGTAGGACTAAAACTAAATACATGGATACATGGAATGCTACATGGAATGCAATTTTAGTTGTAGTAGCTCTAGTGACAGAAGTGTAACTTTGGTGATCAAATTATTAAAATGTGTGAACGATTTAGATATCTTGGGTCTGTTGTTCAAAGCGATGGTGATAAAGATGAAAATGTTAATAGTAGAAATCAAGTTAGTTGGTTGCAGTGGAGGAATGCTTCAGGCCTTTTGTGTGATAGAAAAGTACCGCTTATACTGAAAGGAAAATTTTATAAGACTAAGACGGCTGCAATACTCTATGGCGTTGAATGTTGGCACTTAAAAGAGAAGCATAATACTAAGTTAAGTGTTGCCGAGATGAGAAGGATTAGGTGTATGAGTGGCTTTACACTTAGAGACAAATTACGAAATGAATATATCTGTGATATGGTTCGTGCAGCTCCTGTGACAAACAAAATTAGAGAAAGTCGTCTTAGATGGTTTGGTCACATTAAACGTCCACCATCTGATGATCTGATTAGGAGAGTAGATGTTTTAGATTCAACTTATGTTAAGAAAGGCAAAGGTAGAACTAAGAAGACTTAGGTTTATTGTATAAAAAATGATCTTAATTTATTAGAACTAAATGAAAATATGACACTAAATAGGACGCAATGGAGAAAAAGGATTCATGTAGCCGACCCCACATAGTGGGATTAAGGCTTTGTTGTTGTTGTTGTTGTTGTTGTAGTAGTATGAGGTGGTGTTGGCTTAAAAGTGATCAGTTGCTTTAGAATGAAAGATGAAAAGAGAGGATATGAATTTTTTTTCACTTGCCTGAGAAAAGAAAAAGTGAGCCTACAGGTTTGAAAAACAATAAGAAAAAGAAGAGAAAAGAAAATAGAGGAGGAGAGAGCAAAAAAGAAGAAAGAAATAAACATCATTTGTCTCTGCCTCTTGCCATGAAACCCATTTTGATATGATAGAATTTCATGGCGTTAGAGCAAATATGTTGTTGTAGAAATGCACAAAAATGCGCCAGAAAAATTTGATGCCGCAGAATATATCAATTAGCACGAGGAAAATAGATCACTTCAAATTCTTGATATCTCCACCAAGTGACTTATTTTATTGTTTTATCTTTTATTAATCACCCAGGACATAAAGGAGTATGTGAGAAATTCGGTATCCCTTCTCTTATAGTGGAATATTTATTTGTGTATTTGCATGGATATGGGTGCAAATAATTCAATCTCTTCAAATCATACAAAATTTAATTTCAACTTTTTTTTACATGTTTCTATAGTTTTCTTTTCATTCTTGCCACCACTGCCCTAACAAATTTTTTCCATGGCATTTGATATCAGGGCTACTATGAGGTTCCAAGTAAAAAACTAGCAGAAATAGCAAACAGTTTAGATTGACAAGTCTGATGGAAAATAATTTTGTCACTGGAAGTTCAGGATTGGAGAGTGCATATAGCAAAATAAACTTCAGGAATGTTTGGGGCAACTGCAGCTACTTGAAGAAATTATTGCACATCAGCTATAGAATAAACTACTGTGGGGGAAATTGTATGTATGTTAGGTTAGTTCAGTTGTGCATCAATTGTGTTGCAGTTGTTTATGAAAAAAAAATGATATTATTATTGTATAGATGCGTTACTTTTAAGAAAATCATTTCAGGATTAATAACTCATATATAAAAACATAAGATAATTTGACGAAATCCCAAATATTTATAAGTCCAAATATTACATCAATAAGTTATATCTCACTTACCAATGAGTAACAATAATTAAATATATATACACACACAAGAGCAACAAATAATATTATCATAACATTAGACTTAAAATCCAAACGATCAAATATTCGGGAAATTTTTTTCTCCAAAGATATTTTCCACACATGGTCACTATCCGAAATAGAGTCCTCAAATTGATCAGCCCACCTAAATAAATCACAGTGCTCTCCTGATCTATTCTTTGGACACCTATAAAATTTTGTCTCATAGCTACCTCATCTTCGTGATTTAAATACACAACATTGCAATCCACATTTGCAGTACAAGAATTGTGCTCTTGAATGTAAATAAATACATTTATTATGTTCTTGAACGTAAATCATGCCTCAACATAAATTTTCATAAACATTGGAATGGAAAAACAGATATAAAAATACGCATAAACATTGTAATAATAATCTACTACATAAAAATTATAATTAACTTAAAAAATGATAATGAGATGAATTTATCTGTTAAGACATGTCATTTCATAAGTGTCGTTCGAATAGGATGCCCACCACTCTTAGAAGAATTAAGTCGTG